AACTTCGCGGTCAAGGGACTTGGCAGCAAGTAAAAATCTACCCAACTCTCTCATCTTTTAACATACATGACCATCTTTTGATCAATCACTCCTGTGTTTCTCCAGCAGTCTATCTCCAAATACACATATGAGAGGGTCATATCTTAATTCAAGGGACACCTTGTCAATTATCATTCTCTTAACAATGTTTGAGCATCTTTCTGATGGCTGTCCTTTGTATGGAAGGAGAGCCGAGGCAGCAGCTTGAACTTTTTTTTTCTTTCTGGGATTTAACTTCGGACTCACCCATTGTTCTGCGACACCGTTTCTCATGTGTCCATAGTTCATCTTTTATGAAGAACCCATAGCAAATATTGCATGGCAAATAATCTTCTGCATTTGCATGTTTTGATGGCTGTGTATAGGTTACTATCTCGCCCTCACCCTTCTGCAACACCTCAATGTTATGATAACTTCCCTTCCTACGAAGTTGCTCAAATGTTTGGCGACACTTCTTTGATGTTGATGGAAGACACATTGCTAGGGCCACTTCTATTTCACTGCTGTGTTTCCGCTTCAGATGCTGTGCCATTTTACTTTGTGGTTTTTTGCAGTATACACAGTAATGACGCTTGTCCCACTTTCTTTTTTGACCCTTGTGGCAGGTTTTCACTGTAACCACTGTCCTACCCTCATCTTCATTGTCGCAGCTGTCATCAGGATTCCCATCATTGCTGTTTGTGTTGCAGGGGTCATCTTCAGATGATAGGATATATTCACTTTCCAGGTCAGGAATGGATTCTGACAGAGAGTCATCTGTGGCACAGTCCTCCTGAAAGAACAAGCAGATTAGAATAGTAGTTATTCAAATAATGAACCTATAAAGTTTTGCAGTTGGGCTGCATTGCTGTAGCCCACAACAAAATAAAAAGCATAAATATATACATACCAATTCCTCTTGTGCCTTCCTTTTTCTGTTCATCATAAAAAGCATAAATATATACATACCAATTCCTCTAGTGCCTTCCTTTTTCTGTTCATCATCTGTAAAATTCAGAGTAAATTTGAAACATATTGACAATGTTACAGAAAAACCATTACAAATAAAGCATACATCAGCTTTATTTTCCTGCATAAAGTTGGCATATCTTTAAAGACAATTTAAATTGCTTTGAGTTATTTCTTTAAATAGAGGCTCACAAGTTAAAGCCAACATTAGCCTAATATCTTCACAAATACTAACGCTGGAGAATGAGCCAGAGGACTAAACCAGAAGTTAGTTTCAAACCAAAACAACTAACTAGTTTCATAAATCTTACCTGGACAATTTGCAGTTTTTTTCATCATCTAATTCAGCTGTCACGGTTCTCTCCTCGTCGTATCTCTCAGCACACCGATTGTGGTGCTACCGCAGTCTCCGCAGTGTTTAATGCAACATTAGTTGAAGGTGAGCCTCAAGCTCCAGGTGTTATAGATATTGCTTGATTGCCACCCACTTCTAAGGTGCCCTGTCTGTGCCCTTTTAGAGACACGGGCAGTATTGCATGAATTCAGCTTAAGCAGTATTTAATCACAGCATGATACTTTATTTTATTGCATTTTTGCATGCATATGATAAAATAAATGTAGATAATGGCCAATCACAAA